TTGAATCCGTTTGGCAATTAAAATAGAATAAAGAGACTATTGTTCATTCGATGGTCTCACTCAAAATTGAACTGGTCGCAACCATATTTAATTGAGAATTATACTATATATATACCAAATGTGAGCGCCGGAACTGAAGTGGTGCGACCCGAGAACAGCTGAATGAATTTATTAAATGTTTATCAATGAAATTCATTGCAGGCCACAATTTACATTCCATCTGCACACTTCAATCGGAAGTATTTAGAGAATCGGTTACAAATGCTTTCTTCTCTCTCTCTCTTTCTCTTTCATTTTATCTTTCCTTCCATCGATTTTTCAATTCGAAAACTGAACGAAACCGGACGAACGATTTGGAAATCAAAGGGAAAAAAAACACATGTGTGCAGCACATATTTATTGATCCTGTTGACATTTGTACGAAATCAAGCATTTGCCATACGGTGGCAATTGTGTAGCTGTATGTATATTTTGTTTGCCATCAATATATAACGTGACAGCTTGAATGATGTTTTTTTTTATGTTTTGCGTTAGAATTATCGTTCGATTATTATTCCTGGCTCAGACACTTTTTTCTCTCTCATTAAAAACTCCCACACATTTTATTTTGTCCTCTCTAGTCACAAATCGAACGTTTACGCGTATTTCTCATTATTTTTGTTTATTTTTCGGGGCAAAATTCAAAGCTGCTTCCTATTTTTGGAAAGTTAATCATCAAAAAAATGTTTCTAACGGAAAAATACACAACAAATTTAACATCGGCAAAAAAGAAGAAGACGAATTGAACCTGAACAGCTTTACAGCTTATACGATTGAAAAAAAAATTCACAAAAGATCGATTAACCTTCTTTTGGTTCACCGGAGTTGTTCCTTCATTCATGCATATTTTTGTTCATTGTGTTTCGTGCCAGTGCGGGTGACGTTGTTAATATATCTGGTTTTCCCTCGAAAATATTTTTATGAATGAATTTGCTTGCGCAATAGTAAAACGAAAACCGCCTATGTATACATGTAACAATGTTACAAATGTATCGTAGCACAATAAGAGCATTAAGAATGAACGATAACGTAAAAATTCATTCGGATATTTGTTTCGTTCTCATATGTATAATGTATCAAAAACGGTAAGCATTTCCTTCCGGAATTGTAAATATAAAGAAACATGAATGGCAAAAGAAAATAAAACGCACGCATTACAAAACTAAATGAGGAAACGAAAAAGTACCATATACACGGCACTTCTAGTATAATACAACATGCTGAGCAAGATAGATATAAAGAGAACAACGGTGTGTGTTGCACTCAAAATTTTCGACTTGATTTATCGAACAATACCAAAATTGATTAGGCACAACCAATAAATACTCCTCTGCCATATATATGCTATTGTAATTCTCGTTTCATTTTTTTTAGTGGTGTTGGAGTGCGCCAGCCAACGCCAAATCGATTCGTTTACATTAGAACCAAATGAAACAACAAAACAAAAAATAAATCTAGATGTTTACCTCTACCATTCACGTCTTCGACTATAAATGCTCTGGAAATGAAAATTTCAAAATGTCACATTTATTTATACAGCCAACGTGCGCACACACTTGAGCAGAGGAAGAGGAAATTCTCGTATTTTATTTTGACCGTCAACATGATCAAAAACAAAAAAAAATATCATCACGCACTCTGTGCAATATATACGGGGTTTCCTTCCGACAATAAACCGATTCTCTGTCTCTTTTTCACCTCTCTATCGCTTATATGCATATTGTTTATTTGTGGTTTTAAACACTCTCTTTACAATACGTTTTTTTTGTCTTCAACCATCTAAAAACAAACAGATGTTGACCATTATTTCGTTTGATGGAGATTTTCTAAAATTGCACAACAGTTGGTAGAACATTTTATATTTTGTCGCAGAAAAAAAAGAACCGACAAACGGAGAAGAAGAGAAAATAAATCACAGATTGTCCCCGATCGATGTGGTTTACGAAAATAGGTGTTTGATTACATTTACAAACACCAATGGAAAATTTACATCATTTGACTGGATATCAGCGAATGATTCTATTGCTATGTGAAATGCAGTTGAAAAAAAACTCAACGTCCCACTAAGCTCTTTATACTTAGAAATGTACGCTCTTCGTAATGCTCACTTTCAAATGAGCGCCCGCGCATTTCTTTTCATTTCAAGAATGATCAAATATTGAACACAATAGAATCTCTGAATTGTGGCATTTGCACACGATAAAGGTTTCCATAAAATGTAAGCGCACTTTTCTCTCTCTTTCTCTCGTTCATTTTGTAAAAATTTATTCATCACGACAAACGCGATTTTAAAAGCGTAAATTTTCATATATTCGGTCTTAATTTGGCGTATATAAATCAACCGAGTCTGTGCCATCAATTTTCGCAAAACCAATTATTAACAGAGAATTTGTGTATGTTTTGGGCATATGGAGTAGGCCGCCTTCCAACATCCATAAATACCAAGGAATGAGCGAACATTTACGTTGTGATTTTGGCCTATGCAAAATCGCTTAAATTCAAACCGCATGTATATACTTTACAATATTATATTTATTTATGACGGCTTGGATGAGTATCGTCCAGAGAGTCCATCATTCATCAATTTCGTTTTTTTTTCGGTATGTTGTGTTGCGATGCAAAATGCTTCGAAAGATGTTTCAAAAGTGAAATAAAACGAAAAAAAAAAATAGAATGAAATAAAGTCAGAAAAAAGACGGCCAAACGTGATTGTTTCATGAGCGCGCTCACGCGTATGTGTTTTCTGTGTCATATACACATTTCCACAATTTCAAAAAGGAAACGCCGTAGGATTGACGGGCGTATATAGAAATGATAATAAATTGCATTTGTTACGATTACTAAAAGTCATCCGGCCCATTTAATAGGCTTGGAATATGGAAACAAAATACAAAAAAGCAATCTCTAATTGATGATGCAAGGCGATCGTCCAAAGGAAATTGGTTCTTATTTATGTTTTTATTGCTTCGTTCCTGTTTGATGAAATTGTTTTCGTTTTTAGTATAAATAATATTTGAATGATTAGGTGTTTTGTTCGATCCATCTACGCGTATGAAAATAATGGAGATATTGTATTGCGGCTAGAAAGACATCATATCGTCACTGAAAATGAATAAATCTATTGAAGTCTATGTGACAGAATTGAAGCATATTTTTGGGCGTCTCTGTAGGAAGTTGAGAGCGTGTATTTTTGGTTTATTCTATTTGACTTGTAATATGCGTGTGAATGTGTCTTTTATAGCTTTTTAATTTCTTTCCATTTACGGTCAAGATTAATAAATTGCTTTCTTTCACAGTTTTTTTTTTCTTCAATTTTCGTTTTGTTTGTTTGCTTGAGCTGTGTAGGATTTCTGAATGAATCGAGAACAATGCCAACAACAACAGACAGACGGAAAAAACTACGCACTAGCGCATACACGATTCGATCTTAAATGAATGAATGGATGAATGAATGAAGAAGAAAAAGAGTGAATTTCATACGGGAAGAACAAACAACAAATGTTGGTTTTAACATTTCAAATATATCGGATATTAAGACGTATGCGAAACATTTCATTCATAAACACATGCTGTAGACACACATAACTGAATTTCCTTCCGGCTTTAAAAATTACTTTATTTGGTGTGTGCGTGTGCATTGTAGGTTTTGTTTTTTCCGTTCTTCTCTTCTATTCAATTGTCGGTTAGAATGTAGAGTGTGGTAAGAAAAAGAGACTCCGAAAAACCGGAACTAAAAATTAGAATGAACATACACAATCGAGGGAAGAAGAACATATGTTGTATTTCATAAGCCAAATACTAAAAGATGAATTGCATCGGCACGAAAACAAAAAAAAAATACATGAAGAACAAGACATAGACGACGCTGATGATGATGATGATGATGACGATGAAGAAAAGAAGAATATGCCCAACAATTCATCACAAACGGAACTAAAGACTATATACCAGAGGCAGGGCATGTGTGGCTTTGCATGTGAAACAAATTATACGAATTCGTTAAAACTTTCAATCTAACTTGAATGGCTTTCGGAAATGCAAAGTTGAATATTTTCGGGATGGCAGCAGATTAATGTGATTAACTTAAATGATATTTGCAACATAAACAGAAGGATCAGTAATTTATCAACAATTGCCGCCTTTTGGCTATCATTACAATTATGGTCACAGCAACAACACCAACAACAAACGTATTACGAATTTATGCCATTCAATGCCATTATTTAGCCCATTTAAAATGCCCATATTTAGGAAATCCGATTAAACGTGCTCGTTTTTCTCCTCTGTTTCTTCTTCTTCTTCATATATTTTTCCTATTCGTTTTCCGTTTTTCTTTTGTTGATTCTGGACCGTTGAAATGAAATCATGATCGGCTGACAGTACAAGTAATTTGGGATTAACCATAAGAACGACATACAAAAATATTTAAACTGTCTCATTATTGCCATTTCCTTTAGCTGATTTCCTCGCATATCCTGTTTCAGATCAAAATGTTATTCACTTTTTTTATATTTACTTATTCAATCGGCACGAATGTCCGTTCGATCGTCTTGAAATTCGTTCGATGGAAGAAACAGTGAAACAAAAAAATATATAAATAAATAAAGAACCAAAAACGGATTTGTTTTGTTGTGTATTTTCGTATTCAATGTGTTTCGATTTCTTTGTTTCTTTAAATCAGCTTAAATGATTCGGAATAAAAGTGTACACTGTACAACGTGCAGGTTTCTCTTAATGCAATAATTGTTTCGTTTTTTTTTGTTTGCATGCGAGTATATGTGTGTGTGTCGTGTCAGAATCTGAATTGATCACAGTCAGTCACAATATATAATTGGTCTCTCTCTTTTCGCAAAACCGATGCACATTGACAACGTTTTACATTTGTATTTATTTTAATGCAAATGCAAAGAGATAAATGTTATATTTTAATGGATACCAACAATAAGTAGATTATTATTTACCTCTTTGCTGGGCACACATATTGGTGTACCTTCTTTGATGATGCCGTTTTCAACCATAACGCCCATCACAATTGGATCTCGTGAGTTGAATATGAATTGAGGTAAAATCTGAAATGCAAATAAATTGATTGATTGGAAACATTTTATTTTTTTTTTTTCGTTCGTATTCGTCCAAAACCACCTAAAACTATGGTGACAACGTTGATAAAATGAAATAATTTTTAATAATGGTACTCACCTTTAATTTACATGGGAAAACTGCGATTGATTTGAATTCTTCGCGTTTCTTTTGCTTCAATTCTTCTCGATACGCCGTAAATTTATCGAATAAATGATAAATAATATCAGCTTGAAAAATCCTAACACCATTTGCATCAGCATACTCTTGAGCTTCACGTTCAATTTTAACATCGAATGCCAAAATGGTTGCGAATCTATATCGAATATAAATGACATAATTCGATGCATGAAAATAAACATAATCCGGCATAATCACACAATAAAACAATTAAAATTACGCTGAGCACTTATAAATAGAATCGACGGAGGGACAGTGAGACAGACTGAATGAATGAGCAACAGCAAAAATAAAAACAAAACTGCAATAACCATAACAGTAATAGTTGTTGTTACTGTTGTAACAATAGTAAAGTCACAATCATCGCGTTTTTTCACCGCATTTTATATTATCATTACTATTGTTGCAGTATAACTGTAAAAAACGACTATCCATTCGATTTCAAATGATATCGAGGAAAAATTATAAGAAAATAAAATATAATAGCATTTGTGTGATGTTTAACCATTGTAATATAAAATATGTTGCTCACACATTTTTCGGTCGGAATGAAATTTGAAAAAAGAAAAAAATGAATTTCAAACAAAACCAACAGCAGCAGCAACGACAACTACAAAATAAATAAATAATAAAATGACAAACGGAAAAACGGGGCATACAAATGAACTCTCCATTGTAAAAAGTCAATAAACTCATGAGGTTTCTTTTTACATTCTGTAAAAGATTTACGATTCAGCAAAAGAATTACAAAAGGTATATACAATTAATCATATGCATTCTTCTTGGATTATTTTTTATTTTTATTTAATTTTCATTTTAGTTTTGCATTCGCTCGCTCGCTCATGCTCATTTTCTTTTCGCACTCGCTCATTCATTGATGTTGCTTGATTTTTTTCGTATTCTTCTTCTTCTTCTTCTGTTTGGCCTAGTACAACTTGCCGAATGAAAGTGATGAGCGAAGAGAATCAGCCCCAGAGAAACGACATGAAGAGCTAGCAGCAAAAATGCTCAAAGGAAAGCATAGCAAGACGAACATGAAGTTAGAAAGAGATCGATAGAGAAAAATTGAAAGAAAAATGTACGTGGTTTTTTGTATTTTTATTCAAAAATGCAAACATATTAAAATTAACTTCCTTTATAAATTTACGAGTTTGTGCTATGCACGCCGATATACCTTTTTTTCAACATCCGTTCTGATTTTAATGTTTTGAAATTGTTTGTATTTGTGAATTTTTGTTTTCCATTCGTTCGTTCGTGCTTTTCATTGGATTTGTTGTTACAACGATGGTGCGTTGTTACCGTTGTTGCTGCTTCTTTGTGTTTTTGAAAAAAAAACAACAACAACAACGTTGTGTGTGTATGTTGTTTTTTCATCATTTTGTTATTCAGCACATATGAATGGTGGATACAATATGCATACGTGGTAAGAATTTGATGTGTTGATAATAATTAAAATGCGCCGATTTCAAATTTCGATTCATTGCGTCGATGTTTCATGTGTAGATTGGTTTCTCTCTCTCTCTTACTCTCTATGAGTCGTTTTCTTTATCCGTCGTTTTTCATTGCTTTTGTCGCATTTGAAGCGCGTTAACATTTAATATGCGTTTGCCAGGTTGAATATATAATTTATATTAAAGGTACAGAAAAAAAAACGTGCACGAAAAACACAGGAAGAGTGTGACATAGCACCGATGACACCGATCGCTTCGATTTACAATATGATGGCGTTTTGTAGGAGGAAATATGACACATTTACAAACAAAAGCATACACATTTTTCAAATATTTTTTTTTTTTGCTTCATTTCATCGAGGTTTCCGATAGCAACGGTAAAATTACGCGTCTCTTTTTTCCTTTGTTGCCAAAATATGCGTTCATTGAGCAAAAATTCAATCGAACCAAACAAAAAAATCCATACAATAAATCTTTTGATGTAAGACATCAAGTACTGAAATGTATACGGTTCAGATCGATGAATCAAATCGTTCACGATTTCATTGAACCTCTTAAATACGGAATGAAATATTGCCAATTCGTTTTAAATCTGAATGAAACCGAAAAAAAAGAGATGCAAATGTAAGAGCCCACAAGATAAATGAAAAGTTGGTATGTATTTCTTTATACAAAAAAAGAGCAGGCGACACATATGAAAACAACTATACGGCTGTTTTTTTTAATATACACCAATATCTGTCATTATTTATTGTTTTACGTGGATAAGTTTTCTGTTATGTAATTGCAAGTGGTTTTGATCGTTACGTATATATAATTGCTTTCGTTTCAAAAAGCATTTGGATTAATTAAACACCGACTGCATCGACCATGAATAAAATATTCGATAATACAGATATGGATAGAGATATGGTGAAGAAGAATGCGATTTAAAAAATGTTGTACTTACGATGCATCATGCACAAGCATTGTTGACGCCTTCATAACATCTCGTTTTACAACTGGACCGATTCGGATATTAGAGTACTGAAAAATGAAACAAAATTTTGTTTTTAGAATAAAGGATCGAATTTATGTAGTATATATGTAAAATCGACAGGATTCAGAAACATATGGTCACAAAAGATGAGATATGCCACTAAACATCCTTCAATCAATTACATCAGAAACATCAATACAAATCAAATTTTATATACATTCAAATGAAGTAAATGCATTCAAAAGAGAATTGCTGAAATCGTCTTTCCATTCAATTAAAAAAAAACAATTTAACCTCGTCAAAGCGTTGTGTGTGTGTTTCAAATCTTTTTATAAAATTCATTCGATGTTTTAGTTTCTCACAAGCAATTTATTTATTTTTCATCGCCTTATTTGTCACTTGCCCAGCTTTTGCAAGCAATTCAGCTAACTTATCGGCCTCAATCAAATCGACTCCTACATACTGCACGAAATGAGTGACGTTTTTTCTCACTCTCTCTCCCTCTCGATATGCTCGTATCGTTTACTTTTAAAAATACTTTGATTTGAGTCGAATGAATGAGAAGAGAGAGAGAGAGAGAGAGAGAGAGAGAGAGAGAGAGTTGAGAAAACGTGGTAATGATGTGCCCGCATATAAATATGTTTTAAATTATTTAAAATGCATGCAATTTTGTGTGTGAGTGGATTGCGTTGACCTGCGTTCAAATCTACTTTGAAATGAATCAAGTCGAATATAAATAGGCGTAGTTGTTTTCATGTGTGCTGATGAGCGCGCGTGTGTGTGCGCGCGAGCGCGTCCAATTTTGTGCTTCCCTCTTTGTAGTAAAGCACACACTCACTCACTTTAAAACAAACCGAAACGAAAAAAAATTATAACAGAAAACAACCAGAAGAAGTACGCAAGAAATTTCTCTCTTTCACGTAAGATTCAACATAAAATTATACATCAATATGATGATACAGATGAAATGAGTGCTAGTAAGACGTTTGCGATTTAGAGACAACATGGGCTTGTGTCTTTGGATTTCATCGGCTCGAGTTTTTCAATATAGTGCAAAGTAGTGCGCCTCTGCGCTTGCAAATACACATTTGTTCAATTGCACGACAAAAGAGATTGCGCTAGAGAGACAAGCGCACACAGATCAAGAGAGAGAGAATGCAAAAAAGTTGTGTGTGAGCGTATGTGCGCGTACTCAGTTGTGCGCATTTGATCGTGTAAATTCTGATTAATGAATGGCGTTGCCTCTACTAAATATTTATTATTACATTTCTTTACAAAATCTTTTTACGTTTTATTGGCGCAAACACATACACACTTACACATGCAGACTTACACACCCGAACATAGTACCAATTGGTGTGGTTATGAGCATTCGCCTCATAATTTATTACATGTAATTACAACTGCAATTTAAAATTCAAATATGGTCGAGAGACCGGCACACACCGACAGACACACCGTGATATCACGTCAAAAGGAAAGGAATTATCTGAATTCAAGTGGGAAAAATAACGATGAATTTGGTATTCACCTTATTCAATTCACACCTAAAATACGGTTTTTTTTGTGTAATGCTTTGTTCGGTTGTTGTTTATTTCGCATTGAAGAGAGGCGAATAGATAGATAAATGGATAGATATAGGCAAGCAATCGTACACTTATGACATGATGATGGTGGTATAAAATAGCAAACGCCAAACGAAAAATTCATTTCATCTAGATAGGTTTTTTTGCTATGTGCCGTTGTTGTTGTTTGAACTCAAATTTATGATGGGAGAATGATCAACAGAGAAAGAAAGAAATACACACGTACAATGTTGATGTGATGCCCAAAGCAACTCTTGCCTTAGACCGAATACCATCAGATGGCATCATCCGTTTTGCTTTTCATCTCTCATCATGCAGCCGTTATAATGAAAATGAATGAATACGACGAAATCAAAACCAAACACAGATATCAGTAATGGCATGATTGTGGAAATCTCGATCTACCTACTTATTTAACTTGCAATCGGTTTGTGTGTGTGTTTGTGTGCGTGTTTTGGCATTCGTAAGTGTACCAAACACATGAGTCGGTAGTACTCCATATATCAAACTCTTTGTACACTATGTAATATGATTTTATTAGCGCTATAATGCGGTCCACATTCATTAAAACACACAATCATATCCAGAATTTCGCATAAGTGCAACTGCTGACAATTATTCGTTTTTAACAGAGTCAACGTCAACAGTAACATAAATGTAACGAAGAAAGGCAACGACAGCACCGCCAACAACAAATTGATAGCCCACAAAAAAATGAGGCACAAAATTATGTGTTTGTCGATTATTATGTACGATTCAGCGAAAGAAAACAATGTTATGCATTAATTTGCTTCGCCCATTTATTTTAACTACACAAATTAAACAAATTCTTTTCTTTCGCGCGCACAATAGCTGCGAAAAAAGCATACTATACATAAGACACAGAAAACCCCACTCTCCTTTGATTACTGAATTCCTTATGAAATATGAACCGATATGAAATAAGAAACAATAGGGATCAACAATGTTTGACAAATACAAAACAGAGATAGAATGATAGAGCAAGGTGGAGAGAAGTGTGAAACGAAAAGATTAAAAATGAAATCACGATAATTGTGAATTTTCCATGAAAGGAATTGTAAAAAAAAAATACTTTAGTCGAAACCAAAGCGTGGCAAACAATTTAAAGTTCGCAAAATCAGATGCTGTGTCACATTTTACATATTCTTTCGTTTTTGCTGTTGCTTCACATTTCGATAAATGCTAAAAACAAAAGCTGCTATGAATGGTTTTCCGGTTTTATCGTTTAGTTACCATTCGGTATTTTTTTATTCAATTTTCTGTGTCTATTTATCTTCCCAGAATGCTAATTCATCGATCGAAAAAAATTTTTTGTTCAAATTGCTATGCGCTAACAATATCACATATTCATTATCATCCAACAACCGTATTGTGCTCGAATTCATAACCGTGTGATAAAAATTCCCAGAAAAACCAACAACAACAGCAACAATCATAAAAGCAACCCACTGTAGCATTGTATATGAGTCACATAACATGCGTGAATATGCACATAACAACAAAAAAACTGAAACAACAAACTTTTCAATGAATGAAAAGTGATATACTATGTTTCGTTGAATGGACGATAACATGACTAAATTTAAATGACAAATTCTCGATAAAAAAAAAAACCAACTAAAACGAATACAAAAAATTCTTCGTTTTTGCGTCATATCCTGCGGAACACAGCGATGTGCGGTCGATCATACGACATAAAAGCATTGACCAAAGAGTCAGGATTTTCGAAAAACAACGAAAAAAAAATAGAGAATGAAATGAATACACGTAGCCAAGATTTCATCGTGAATGTCATATTTCCTTCTAATCTAAACTCTAAGCACGAATAATACACTCGTGCGCTCACTGCCGCTGTTGCACACGCTTGTTTTCTGTGTGTATATATGCATGTATGTATACAGAGAGCCACAGTAAACACAAGAGAGACGAAAAAAATTGGCTTCCGTTGGAGCCGCTAATAGCTAATAGCCAAGTCAACGGAAATGAATACATAAAGGAAGTGTTGAATTTATCGCTTTTTATAAAGAGACAATAATGGTATCTGTAATGCCATTCGATTATGTATACTCGCAGTTTAACAAACACAGTTGTACGGTTAAATAGACAGCAAGAGTCGCTTATCATTGCCGAATTGAACGAGAATAAATTTGAAAAAAAAAAGAAGAATCGAATAACACCAACATGTATATATTCTGTGTACACAATTGTGATGATGGCATCAGTAACACGAATCAAAGATCTATCGGAATGCAATCGACTTAGTAAAACGAGAATTAATTTGTTTTGATCGTTTTGCCATTCGGATTGTAATATGCCACTCACAAAATTGTTCAATTTGTCATTCGAATCAGATTAATTTGCATACTTTGATCGAAGCTTTTGAGATAAACGCTGTCTCATTTGCACTACTGCTGCTTCTTCTTTTTCTTCTACAGAGATAATTTTATGTGTTCCTTATCAATTGGCCCAAGATCTGGTGGTAGTTATGCTGGTGGTTGGATTGCCAATGAAAACATCGATTCGAACACAAAAAAGTGGCACACGCGTTCAATAATCCCAACATATGATGGCGATTATTGTAGTCGGAGCGTTTATTGAAATATTTTAATTATTTTACTTATGAGACCATGAATCCGATCGCAATTTTTCTGTTTCTTCTGTTGCGCTTTCGCAAATACGATTTACGTGCTTACGATGCATTTCGGAGAAACCTGACTAACTAGGCAATGTATAATACGTGCATATTTTTCTTAGATTGAAATGAAAACGAGAATCGTTGCTGACGATGCATCATGATAATCACAAGAATGGAAAAGAAAATAACAGGAAATGATATTTACGCATTTTGACTTGACTTGAATTGAATGGAGTGAAGATTCCAGATATATATATACACATACACGAACGGAGCAAACACACAAACTTAGCGAATTCATATATAATGAATGTGTTCTGTGCAGTTAATGTGTGTGCGTTTATGTGTAAATTCGGTGGTGATGCCGCCGCCACGTACATACATGGGGCACATCGCCACAGCGCGTATTACTGCGCACATTTATAGCATTTTTGTGATTTGAGTGGAGTATCTTGTTAGATAGAATGGATGTAAATTTCCGGTCGTTACACTATGTATGGTTATACGTATAATATGCTGCTCTACAGTATGGCGTAGACCGCGTCTAATATCTCGACGGGCTAATTTGATTACGTAAGTGCGATCTCGTCACTCGAATAAAGAATAAGACGAAACAAACAAACGAATGAAGGAACGAACGAGCGAATGAACGAAAAAAAAACTAACACAATTACGATTACAATTACAATCATCATGCATTGCATCGCCATCTTTACCAATCACTACATCATTTCTTTGCCATCGTCAGTACGATGGTAACTAGAGAATGAGCAGAAATGTCTTTCTCGTACTCTCTCATCAAGTCCCATCCTCAGTTTTTTCTTCGTTTCTGTAGTTTCTATTAAAGAATAAAGAAACCAATTCATCTAAGTAGCGGAAGGAAGCACGGCCAAATGAATGAAGAATGGACAAGAAACAATTGTATTCGCAAAGTTTAACGAAACAAAAGCAAAAACACACGAAATTCGTTTTTTTTTTTTAAGTGGCCTGTAATTTATACACATTAGTTTGGTGAACATGAGCACGTTGCAATGACTTCTTCCGTTCCCATATTTAATACGTTCATATCGAAGATTCATTGAGTACGAAACCATTCAAACCAAGCATGCCAATACCGAAACGAACGTAAAAATGTACGAATGAACGAACGAGCAAGCGAGCCATAAATGCAATGTTCGACCTCAAAATAGTAACATTACGAAGAACGCAAACAATGTGTTCTTACGGTTGAATGTCGAGTCCACGCGAGAGCATTTGAGCATACAAAACTTCGATGCATTTTGAGTATTGCCACAGTTAAATTGCTAGAACGGTGCATAGAAGTGTAAAGAATTTCGATAATGTCTATTGAGACACAATCGTAATTTTATGTCTTTTCACTGAATCACTACTTGAATGGTAACGTTGAAACGGTCAATGATTATCGAATATTTCATTCAATCAACGAAAACGATTAATGAAAGAAATACCACGATGAATACATATGATGATGGGTAACGCAAAAAATAATCCAAATTGAATTAAACTGGGTAATAAACATAATTAACTTTTCATTTGAATACATTTCAATGCAAAAAAAAGTGGAATATCCGATATTTTGATCTCTCACGCTCAACGGCAAGCAAGCTGAATATGTTCGAAACCATTAATTCAAATTCAAAATTTCGACATTCATTCATTCCGTCCATCGTTCGGTTGTTAGTTTGTTGGCATTTTCGTTTCATTCGTCTCACTATGTTCGCTCGTTCAATTCAATCATTCATTCATTATGCATATCAGCCACATGGTGTGTGTGTGTGTGTGTGTTTATGTTGACATTTGTTGATACATATTCATGTTTCATTCACAGATGTGTTTTAATATATATAGATTGGCCGTTTACGCATTTTGGCCGGTTACGCATCAACAAAAATGCAGTTTCGCATTTAAATCAAAATCGATTCAATAACCTACCGGGATTTTGGACGTTCGTAAAAATTCCAATAGAGCTTCTAGTGAACCGAGAGTTGATGCTTGAACGTACACACCTTCCGGACTCAATTTTATATGACTAAGTGCTGATCGCAGCTCTTTGGCCACCTCCTCTCTGAAACGATACATTTTTTCATTTAATGTGAATACATTTTCATTTCATTTCCACTATATTTGTTGAAATATTTAAAAAAAAAAAAATGCGAAGCAACGACAATGCCAAAAAAGAAAAAATGTTTATACCTGCAAATATCAATTTCGTCTGGTTTGTTAGCAACATAGACATTAAGACCGGCTATCGCCTTTTCTAGTTCCTTTGCCGCAATTTTAACACCCTGTGCTCCTTGGACTTCTCTATGTTCGATATAAGCATTTTTCACACGAAGTTCCTTTAATGGTTGTGGCATCAATAGCGAACGAATTTGCGTTGTTATTGGACCATCTGTACCAGCTACAACCATTGTATCACCTTCACGTAATTTTCCATTGATCAGTATACAATCAATGGTCGTACCCAGACCAGAAATGGCTTTCACTTCGAGAACGGTTGCCAATAATTCTTCACTGTACATTAGTCGTTTGGCCAATCGCGTTTGACAAGATTCAACGATCAGGTACAATAAATTACCCATACCCTCACCGGTTATGGCAGATGTTGGCACTAAATTAATGTATGAACGTGGATCGGGATTGTCATAGAACAATGCAGCATTAAATCCTTGTTCGGAAAATTGTACAATAATGTCTTTCGTTCGCTTTTCAAATTCATTCTGTGTATTTATCGCTTGACTCTTCAGAATGTCTTGAACATCTTTGCGATTGATTGTTTGCCAATCATAAAGACGATCAATTTTATTTAACGCAACTAAGAATGGTGTTTTCATTGATTTCAAAATGTTGATTGATTCTATTGTTTGTGGCTCCAGGCCATGCATTATATCGACAACTAAAATTGCAATGTCACACAAAGACGAACCACGAGTTCGAAGATTGCTGAACGATTCGTGACCAGGCGTATCTATGATCAGCAAACCGGGAAGTTTATAATTCATTTCATTTGACTGAAAAGCAAAACAAAAATAATTAGCATTCGATTGTTATTCGAAACGAAAAAAAAAATAAGACTGAACAATTTGAATTCGTTACATACCCCTTTCACCACTTTGCATTGCTCTTTAATCGCTTCAATGGGCACATTTGTGGCACCAATCTGTTGAGTAATACCTCCTGCTTCCGAATCCTGGACATTCGTTCGCCGCAATTTATCAAGAATTTTCGTTTTACCCGTATCTACATGACCTAAAACGCAAACAACGGCCGCTCTCAAATTGTCCGTGGTTCGATTTTGTTCGGCAGCATGGCGACGTTTCTGTATAGAAAATGAATATTATTATTATTTGGTAAAATTGCTATTGATTTGACGAAAGTTTGAATTCCAAATATTTTACCATAATGCGTTGCCATGCTTTTTCTTTCTTGACTTCGGCGTCATTTTTATGATCTGGTTCATCGTCATCAGTGCCCTCATCCTCATCACTGTCTTCATCGTTTTCATCGGAATCTTCTGATTCACTATCATCGGATGTATCGTCTTTGCTTTGTTTGCTTGCTACACTCTTACCGGTTCCAGTCGGTTTTGTTTGCTCCACTGGTTCAGCCACTTCCGATGACTCATCTTCGGAGCTTGATGCATCCCATGAATCCTTTATATTATCTTCTTGATTTGGTTCAGCACCTTCTTCCGGTTTTTGTTCGTCATCATTTTCATCTTGTGCAGTTGTTTCATCGGATTCTTTTTGTTCATCCTTTTCATCGGAAGTGCTTTGATTTGTCGCCGATTGATTTTTCTTATTTGGACGAACTCGAGTTCCAGGTCTTGGTTTCTTGGCACCGGCTTCAGGCAATTCAACGCCTTGTGCTCTCAACGATTCTAACATAGCCTCTGCACGAGCCTTATCTTGTTTTTGCTTTGTGGTCAACAGCTTACCTTCGGCCTTGAGTCTTTCCTTACGCTCCTTTTCTCTTTGCTTTTTCTTTTCTTTGCGCTCAATTTCTTGTCGTATTTTTTCCAAACGCAATCTTTCTACTTCTTCTTGGATTCGAATTCGTTCTTCTTCCTCACGCTGCACAAAAATAATATTTTCAATTAATAAAATATTTTAACTCGATGGCAAACAAATCGAAAAATATAAATAAAAATTTACACACTTTTAAACGTTCTTCTTCTTCGCGCCGCTTTTGTAATTGCTCTTGCATCGCAGCAACCATTGCTGAGCTAAGACCCTTCTTCTTCTTGTCTTTGTCCTTTGGTTCGTCATCTTTTTTGTCGGCTTTACCTTTCTTTTTCTTTTTCTTGTCGGCACCATCGGCGGCCGCATCATTGGCACTCACAGCCTCGGTTTCTCCTCCAACAGCCGGCATTGGTTTCACATCTTTTTTCTTCGGTTTTTCTTTCTTCGTAGATGGTGTATTCTCCTAAAATATAAACCATATTGTTTATTGTAAAAATTATTGATCGAACGATCGATTGTTTATTTATATCTGTAATTTACCTCGTTTTCGGCGTCATTATCAGCTGATTTTTGTTGAAGTAGCTGTTGTTTTTCTTGTTGTTGTTTCAATTTTTGACGTTCTTTTTTCTCCTTTTTCTTCTGAGCTGCACTCTTGACTGCGCTATCCTCTTCTTCCTAAACAAAAACAGATTGATCGATTAGCTTTGATGTCGAAATTCGTTTAACACACATCACAATCGACAATATGCAATTGGTTAAAGACTTGAAAAAACACTTACCCTTTCCAATTGCTGTGGCGTTTTATATTCAATCACTTCATCCATTTTTGGAAGTAATTTGTTTTCGTTTTCATCGACCAGCCAAAGTGTTTTCTTTAACCTCAAAAGGTATTTTTTTTAGCACTGCCACAATAGCAAAACACATGTGAAAGGAATGATTTATCTTGACACTTTTAGAAAGTTTATCGACAGTACATTACAATGGTATGAAGTTGGTTGTACACAAATTGTTTGAAAGGGGAAATGATATGCATCGGACAACACCGTTGATTTGATTGGGACATAATATTATCGTTTTTTGTTGTTATAGTTTTTTTCTTCAATGACGGTAATTGTGTTTATAATTTTATTTATAAAATTGAAAAATATTCAGTTTCTCTTCTTCTATTTGGACAAATTTGTTTAAGATGAAAATCATTTCAAATGTTCATTTTTCAGCTTTGTTGACATTCAATGAATTAAAACTATAGTATCTATATATAGACCGATTTTCTTCAAAATTTTAAAAGCTTCAAGTTCATTTTACTTCATTGAATAATATTGCATAACAAGAGATGGCATTGTCTGTCTTTTAGCAATTTTATAAGGTGAACTAGTCATTTCATCTAAATTTAATAGCATTTGGTTTTATTTTTAAATGAAAATGTCGCTGACCAGTGTTGATTGTATACTAAATATAAAAAAAAATGAAGACCCAAATGTCTTATATATTTGAAAATAATGATTATTTACTAATCGAAAATAAAAAAAATAAGCAAAATTCGAAATGAGAAAAATTAAGTAACTTTGTATGAACAGATTATTATTTTTCATAGTCGGGTCCATTTTTCGAATCTCAGAAATCTTAAAGGCAAATGATTTGAATGCAAAATAAAATTTTTATTTAATTTTATCTACTTGTCCACATTTTTATGATTGAATTCAATCTTTTGTCCATAAGAACATTTTTTGTTCAATTCAAAAATAAAAAATTGCTTAAATTTTTGAATGGAATGCCCTTTCACATGTTCAGTTCTCCATTTAATTTCTTTTTTAGTCTCATATGTGATTCAAAACAAACTATAAAATTTATCTCTATTATTGAATTCTAAGCACTTTTATTGAATTATGATTCCCCTAAAAAGTAGGTAGCCAATTTTCTGGACGAATGTACGAATTTTATCAAAACCAGTAAAATTAGATGTTTATTTTGATATGGTTGTCATTACAACAACCATACACGCAACTAGTCCCACAAATACGATCCAAATCTCTACGTGAAAGTAAATTCTGATAAAATAATTCAAAATATCATTCTATCAAGTATAAATTTAGTTGAGAATATCAAAAGCTCCCACAATATGTCTGCAACGCACGACCTAAGTCTGCTAGGTCGCCCGCATTTTCGAGGAAAATCCGGACAAACAATCGTCCAGCCCAGAAAAACGGAAAAAATCCAGATTCGTCCTGGATTTTTTTCACAATGTTCGTCGAGTTTTTTAGATTATTTTCAATAATTTGGAATTTTTTCTTGTCAAAAGTATTAGTTTGTTAGTATTTACAAATCAATTTTTTTCACTCGTATAATCCGGCCCGGACATAAAAACAAACTGGAAGCCTTAACATAACCTATTAGTGGTTTATATTGAGCTTACCATGATCTTTTAATGTTCATCTTAGTATAACGAATGCCTTCTATAAAGAAAAAAGAAGAAATAAAAAGAATTTCCATTCAAATCGAATTTAAATGATTGGATATGTGCCAGAGCACTTTTCGTATGACATCATGGGAACAATGACCGTTTGAATAATGAATGACGATAAAATTTCAATTTTATTCGAATTTGAAACAAAAACTATTTCGCCAACAAAATAAATACAACTTTTCACATTGTTACTGCTGTTATTTATTCTTTTTTTGTATCCATAAAAAATACATTGATTTCCGAAGAAAAAATAGACTTTGTATCAAAAAATGTGTAAATTGTTTGGACGGAATTAACTTTTTGTTTCGACTCTTAAGCTTGTAAATTGATTCAGTGTTTAAATTGTATTTGACTTAATTACATCTAAAAATGTCAGTTAAGTGCAAATGATTGAGTTTCATACTGGTTTAAAACTGTACGCTAAAAAGTGTCTAAAAAAGTTTTCATCATTAATTTCTAAGCTCTAATTAACTGACAAAGTTCATTGTGCTACAATACAAAACAAAATTAATGGCTTTTCATTTGAACGTAAAACGGACGACGGTAAAGTGTATTGGAATGTATGTGTTTGCGTGGAATTTCCACGGTGGAAATAGATGGAGAGAGAAAAATGTGATGTGGGACGATGTTTGTTTTCATCGTCACGAAATAGAAAGATGAAAATGAAAATGCATTGGCCATTGAGATTCAAGCGTCGCTGATTCCTTGGTCATACGCCTTATCGTCTTCCCATTCTCGTTCGTCGGGCAATGCATGATGTCTTAAACCGCAAATTTTTGGCCCCCATTTTAGTTGAACAATAATTATGCCAATGATAAAGGCAAGCAAAAATGCCACGGCAGGAAAGATGACAACATAAATCATGTTTGTAACAAAGTATGAGATTCGTTTCTTTTGTGTCTTTTGGATTGTAGGAGTGTTGCGTGTGTTGCAGTATAGGGATGAAAAACGCAAACCGAATAAAAAAAAAATGTGAACCGAACCGAGAAAAAAACCCTCGAGTATGATGAACGATGGATTGATGAACAATGGCTTTAATTAAATATCGCTCTCTCGCTTCGGTTGCTGTAGCTCAACGTATTCTTCAGTTGGTTGTGATTGATTGTATGCGCGACTATAACCACCTCGTTCCTCCTGTTGTGGACGATGATAAGAAACCTCTGGGTGTTCAACGTCAGCCTAAATAATAATCATCATTTCAATAAAATAATGTTTGTTGACGCAAAATTGCGATGCGGTAAATGGCGATGTGATATTTTTTTCTCGATTTTCTACTTACACTCTTTGGATAAAATGAGCTCACGTTTTCCAATTCAGTCAAATCTAATGGCGGATTCTTATGCGGTGTTGCCGTCCAAAGTGATACAATCCAACGATTACCTATATCAAAGAATGTCATGTGCGGTTTAAATTAACGCAAACTGTACAGAGAGAATGGAAGCGATGAATGGAAAGGGTAATAAAATTGATTGATTTACCAGTGTGTCGATCTTGCCAATATTGTCGATGCTTGGAACAGCAACCAAGTACGATGTTCAATATGAAAATTATCAAACAAAATACCGTACAAACGGCAATTGTTTTGTAAAATGGCGAAAAATCACCGTACAATGCCTTTTCGTAAAATGGATTATCCAAATATTGTCTTCTTTCTTCAATAGTAGTCATGTTCTGATGTCGCGCTCGTTTTGAGCATTTAACTGCAAAAATAATTAAAAACCGAATCAAAATTTATTTGAATGATTAGGGTGTAACGAAAAATTTATTTAGATCCGCAATAAGAAGCCGTTTTGTTTATCATTTTGAATCAAATAGGAATCATTTAAATGTATAGCTTCGGTAGCTATGTAAATGAAATGTGCGTTTTTACACTAACGTATTCACGCCCATATAACATTCATACACACACATACACACAAACACAAATCGGTGTTTGACTAATTCATTGCTTAATTGTTTTTTATATTTACCATACACTGGACCAACTTAAAATGAATCATACATAAATTCAGCAACGTAATTTTGTATGCAATAATTCATTCATTTTGAATGATTTTAGAATAATGGCATATATTTGGTTTCTTTCTCAAACCCCATGAATCGATCAATAATTATAAATGCAATGCCAAAGAATGGCACTTAAAATCAGCGCCCGCAAACAATTCGAGAGGCGTTGGCAATTTGTTTCGTTGAATTAACATAATTTCAAAATTATGACCACAACATTAACATTTCCATGCGCATATAATTTCAATAAAAACAATATTTCCACATTCAATTTAATTTGTCGTGAAATATGTTGGAATTATTGATAGAATTTCGATGAGAAAAAAAAAATTACGCTGCGTCGAAAAAAAAAATGTTTTTTGGGTGTGGTGTTGTGTGGCTTTCAATCAATTTTACAATTTTGTCATGCTTCCATCAACCGAATATTTTTGTTAATTAAAAATCAAATATGCCAAAAACACAAAACACACATAGATATACACGAATATAAAAAACGGAAAAAATAAATTTCCCATAAAAATGACTTACAAATTTTCCGTTGAAAGGAAAAGCCGACCGAACAAAACACAAATAACGACGACAACAACAAAATAATAATAAAAGAAAAAAAAACCAACGAAATAATTTCAATTTAACGATGCAAGCGCTTCAAAAACATACACACACGATGTATCAACGTATTGTTGTTGAACATGAATGTGGAACGAACTAAAAATGCTTTTCGATCGCTTACCAAATGAATGCACACATAAATAATCTGAACCGTATTACGATCTCACACTACCAACACACATAAAAAAATAGACAGAGGGAATTACAGCAAACGAATAAAAATAAAGAACCATCAAACTCACACACAATTATAAAAAAAAAGCACCGTGCCGTGCCATTAATGTATGTGAAGAATAAGAAGCAGAAAAAATAATAAATCGTGTATGTTTCACGTGAAATGTAGCCCGCGCTGTCTATGTATGTGATGATAAATATTTGTTTAGTTTTGTGTGTCGAATGTTTGCGGTTTAGGCGTGTTGGTGCGTTGGTCGGTTGTCATGCGATTATACGATTCAATTAATGAAGTTGCCCACAATGAAACATGTTCGCGTTGTAACTCATGTGTGTGTGCGTGTGATATGTAATATGTGTGTATGTAACAGACAATAAAATTCAAATGACTTCAAAACATTTAATATTGATTGTATATGAGTGTGCGTCTGGTTGGCTAGTTAGTAACATTTACCTCGTACTCATGGCTAACTAACACATTTCAACAATCAGGCCAACTGATTCAACACAAAAACAATTCATTCTCATTCAATGTACGAGACGATAACGATAGCCGACAACGACGATTCACATATTCAGTTGTTTATTAAAATAAAAAAAACACTCGCATGTTCTTGCCTCAAGCAAAACACGATATCAAAGAAACGGTAAGGTGAGACGAAGTTGAAACCACTTAATGTATTTCATTCAACGTTCACCTACTCAACAGTCCGATATGTATGCTATGTGTATTTAACAAAAACTTGCTTTCTACCTTTGATACGAATGAAAACACTTCAAATGCAACACTGCCATCGATGTCTATGCCATATATAGACTAATTGCTGTGATGTTTTCATTTCTGTGGAAATGATAAAAATACACATGTCCGTATAACGACTTTATATTTTGTTCATTCTTGCAGCTTGCAAACTTGCAATGTTTGGAGAATGAGCTTCCGAACCGACCACATCTTGTGATCTTGGTTTTGTTGTTAATGCTTTTTTTCTATTCTTTTGCTCTCTTTCTTGTCGTCATTATTCTCCATTCAAAATATCATTCATTCCAACAAGAATATGAGTTAAAACATAGTGGGGAGAGTAAAAAAAAGTTATAAGGTTTTATTGAAGAATAAAAGTGCTCGAGCTCAAACTCATTCGAGATCAAGTAATCTGCACAGCATTGACGAACCGAATGAACAAACGAGGATGGATGAATGGAAGAAAAATCGACACTGTGATATGTTTCATATCGTATGGCATTTAGCAAAGCACATTGCTCTCTTCACTGGAATATCTCTCGAATATCATAATCGCCATTGATATCATTTCGAAAACGATAGAACCTTAAAATTTATACACTATTAAATTTTTACGGTTTAAGTCGATATGTCTTCTGATCTATCAAAACGAGTACAACAAAAAAAACTGATTCCACTATATTTTATTCCGGAAAAATGTGATGCAATATTATATACATAAAAAATAAATAGTTTTTTTTTTTGGTTGGCAATTGTTGCTGCTGTGTCAATTGCTTAAGCGCATTTGGACAGGAATGAAAAAATTTGTACAAAAGGTTTTCCATTTCGGCCCTGTTATAGCATTGATCCCCCATGAGAATTTCAAAATTCAATGCAAAATTGACAAATTCCTAATGAAAGTCCGCCTGCTCCCCCTTACGCTGCACACTCTCTAAATAAATGCAAAATGAAATCCATCGAATTAAATATATGGATATATTATACATTTGCATTGCAACGTCCTCAGAGGATTATTTGATAGGTAAATTATTCCAACGCTTAATATGACGCTTCAGATCTCTTACTTACACCGTTTATTATTATATCTATATATGCGCGCATATGCAAATTCATGTATGTAGAACCTCTATCAATAAATGCATGTGTGCACACACATTCACATGCTCACATACGTACGTACATACATATAATGCAATCAAATATGATTGCGTTTAGGGCAGATGATGTAGCGATCCATAAAATTGTGGCAATTCATTGAACCATTGTGCCCCAGTGGCGAATCGGTAAATGAAACTAAAATCACTTTGCAATCATTCAAATCAAAAAATCAGGAGATCAAAAAAAAGGATAACACACACATGCAGTATCTGATTTAAATATTAGTTTCAGTTTTGGCATGTGGAGCCAATATATTTTTTTTTTCGTTGCATATATGCATACATCTTATAGTGAATGATGTTTTGTGGCCATCACTCTTCAGCGGTATTTTTAGTGTAATGGTTTGATGCTCCCTTCTATCCCTTTCCCCCTTCGACCATCTCTCTCTCGCTCTGTCCACTTTTTTGCCGTGATACAAAAACGTAAATCTACTTCGATAAACGAACACACGAGCAAAACAGAACACGTATCGAAAGGTTTATGGCTGAGGGTTGAATTACGCGCCGTAACCATCACTGGCCATTCTCATTTTCCACATTTCCGTTTTTCGAAATGCTGCTAATGACTAACTAATTTCAATTAGTGCATTTATGAGTGTGACTATAAATGGATTAAAAGCCGTTTTCCCGTTTTTTTTTTATCCATTTGGATTTATGAGAGTCAATGTGTACAGTATGCCTTCATCTTCAACGCCAACATAATGTTCTTTCCAGTTTCACACCATGGTAACGAAGGATACGTGCAAATATCGCAGATACTTTTACTTGACTTATCATGTTCAATTGTTCATGCTGCTACGGCTGATGTTACTGCTGTTGGTGAATGGTGCCGATAATGTATTACATGCGATGCTCACAAATCTGAAATAAAAAAATTATCACGAACATCCAGTGCAAAAATATGTGCACGGAAAACTGATTTTTATATCGAATGTCAATAAAATCGAATGAAGACTGCACTCTTGGCTGTAAATTGGTTTTCATTTCAATTAGGCGTAGTTTCAATTCGACGGGGAAAAATCCACTTAGAATATTTAATAAGGAACTCTTCATGGCCCGAAGCGAACATACTATAAAATGCGAACGAAATAAATTAAAATTAAAATAAACATAGAAGGATACTCATGATTTGACTCAATCCAAACGGTTCTTATATATGTATTCAGTCCAATTCGAAAGCTTCACATTCTTTTTTTTTCTCTGTCGCTTTCCGTTAATTTGATGAGAGATATTTGCGTGGTAATTTATATACGCCTTGTTGGGCAAGTATAAATTTATTAATTTTACGTTTTAACTAAAACGTAAATCATTTCGAGTTTTGCATTAAAACGGTCGTTTATATGCACTTGTCCGTTTGCCAAATACGTACTACTTGAAATATTCTTTATTGCGTTTTGATTTATCCCAAGAGCACCATTTTGATTGTGAGCGTATATAAGCACGATTTCTAAATCAGAGATGAATTCTGTTGAGAATTCTGCTAGGAATTCCGTGCCCTTGTGAAATAAAGTGATCGAACAACGTCGGCATTTTTTCAAAATGAAATCGAAGCAATTAACCCTTAACCGCACAGGCTAAAACAGTAACGTAAGCGCACAGGTGGGGTATTTTTGGACCCATGAGAAATTTCATACAAAACTTATGCAAAATGGTATCCAATGAGTAAAATATGTCATTTTATAGTTAAAACATAGCTTATTCCTTACTTTCCAATACAGCATCACAATTTAATATTGATTTTTATGGAAAAAAAAATCAATTATAGCCAAAATTCTTGGTAGTTATTGATATGTACGACTTTCAGACAGTCGTGTCTTTCACTAATATCGCTAATCGACAGTCGTTGGCCAGTTAATGTGCTTCGTGTACTGCGCCGAACTACCTCTCGATATGTGAGATCAATATAGAGACTGCTTCCCGAAGGGCGATCGCACTTTGAACACTGTAGCTCTCTGGCATTTATAATTTCAACCCTATGTAAACATTTTTCCTTCCTCTTCTTCTGCATTTGCAAGAAGCATGTGTGATATATCAGCTTAACTCTGAGACACCAGGTGGCAGCACATTTGCGTGATCGAAACCAATTACATTGCTTTATATGGAGTGCGATGAGATGGCGCTGCTTCCGTTCTTCCTCCATACTTGGCAAACATGTTGTTAGACGTTCGCAACAAGGCAAACCCTGCCACACCAGCAACGTTCACCAAATTCACGAAATATGCCCATACATTGTGTTTTGGATAGGATAGATCCGTAAGATCTCCGCAAGAGCTGGATCTAAGCGTGCGTAGGCCGCCGCATGATACATACTTTGATTGGCACGCCTGCTTTGATTTGCGCGTCGAAGCAACACAGAAAAACGAACGGATATATCATGCGGCGGCGTATGCACGCTTAGATCAAGCTCTTGTGGAGATCTTACGGATCTATCCTATCCAAAAAAAAAAACAATGTATGAATATATATTATAATGGCAAATGCCATTTGATTTGCGATGAACAGTATACGTCACGGACGAAACAATTTACTGTGTTGTTGTTTGATGAAATGTAAATTGTTGTGTCAACAAATCTCCATGAGTTTCATATTGGCCCATACAGAATACATCATTTCCCATACAAAATACTTTGGGGTCCAAAAGACCCCGTTGTGCTTTTACGTTAGTATTTTGTATAAGACTTCCCAAAACTTCATCTATGCACCAAACATTGAAATTTTTGATTTTATCACATAGATATGATATTAAAAAAGAAAACGCTCAGCGAAATTTTCCAATTTTTTTTTATATTTTTGTGATTTTTTCAAAAAACTAACTCTTAGGGCCTAAGAGACCCCACGTGTGCGTTTGAGGGTTAAAGACAATTGCATAAATTCTTATAAAAATTTGTTTTGTATGGGAAAAAATGACAATTAATATTCACCTTATTAGTCAGTTCTGTTATTTGCACACAGTTAAACATTATAATCACTGTCGTTATCCGTATCTACAGAAAACAGGCATTGTACTGAGATATTTTATCTCATGGTCAGAAATTATGCAGGTAGCATAACTTTGACATGGTAGAAATGAATTTCTGATGTTTTTTTTAATTTCTTCATTTTTCTTCTTATTGAAACTCAAAGTATGTTCCGGTTTAGCTGAGCTCAACCAGATGAGTCCTTACAGCTGCTCGATAATATCTCCGCACAATGTCCGAATATGCCCTACGAATATGGAAAAAACACTTTTTGCAATTTTTTGCTTGTTTAATCAAATACCCGGAAAATATTAGCAAAGTGGTTTTGTGTCATGAATGAAATGTAAGAGACAGTTTCGAATGGTCATCGGGATAAATATGAAAAGAAAGGATTGAGCATGAAATTCCAAGTTTCCACGTTGAAAAGGGAACAAAATAATAATAATAATATTTTCACTGCGAACAATAGCTCAAGTAGTTCGAAAAAAAATGCCATTGCAAATGGATCGAGTGTGCTTGGCATTTGTTCGTTTGTTTTCTATATATGCCACAATAGTACAATAATAGCAATAATGAATTGAAAGCATTATTTCGCACAAATTGTGTGATCATTTGAGAGAGAGAGAGAGAAGAGAAGTTGAGCAAATGCGAAGCTTAAATAGATATATAGATTAAACATGTGTGTTGCACATGGTTTTGGTTGTACCGAGAATACTCACGCACACACATGCACACATAGTCCGTCATGAGTTCATAATTCATAAACTTCAATATACTTATGGTGTATATATTGTTCAAGATGTGAATGTGGCCGATTAGATAGTTTTCAACGTGAATTCGGTATGCGAAGAGATTCGACATTAAAGTCAACGTATTCACCTGTATCAAGATGTGTGTACAACTGTACATATATACATTTGAATTAGCCCGAAGGGAAAGAATGGTAATATTTACCACATAAAATACACCACCACCGCAACCACCATCACCACATGGCATGTATCGGTGTAGAGGTTATACTGTGCAACCTTATCTCGTGCACTCTTCTTTATTATTTTATTATCATTATTAAAATTGCGTTCACAGTATTTATTCGTGTTTTTCTTTTCGCCTTGTCTTTGGCACGTGACCTGATCGAATTTGGAAAGTGTGAAAATGCGAAACCCAATGATGAATACACATTTGCTATTTGCTTATAAACTGAATCGCGTTTGTTCTATTGATTAAAGCTTAAACAAGCATTGATGGATTGCAATGCAGCAACATTGTCGAATGAAACAAAGCTTCGGAACGCGGAGAGTCATTTGATTTGAGGATTGAATTTTTGAAATTAAATGAAATATATCCCGATTAAAGAAATGTGGTTACACTGTGTTATGATTACATTGCGACACGAGATGGAAATTTTTCCATCGCATTTCGGTGCAAATCAAAGAAAATTCCAAAGCGACACACGACCAACATTTGATAACATAAAAATGTGCTCTTGTGGAATGGTAAATTAACATCATCAGGTGAATTGTTCGAGATTCAAACAATGGTGAAATATGACATAAATGCCATAGCACACGTACGCAGTGTGTTTAGATTGCAGATTGTAATTCAAAGCTTTGCTGCGAACGCAACCGAATCTTCAAATGAAATTGATCTTTAAATTGGAAAGTTTTGGTCCATTAAATCACACCATTTCGAATGATGTAATGTATCCGTTGGGGCCAATAGCTTGAAAATGCTCAACTTAATTATGGTTTAACACCTTCAAAATGCTCATCACATGCACTATACATTACTCGATTTCGTTGGTGCACAATTTGCAATTTATTTCATTTTACATTAATATTTATGGACTGTTAAATAAACTGATGATGATATTTTCGAAAAGTTTCTATTTCATCACATCAAAATGGGAAATGAGCTGGGCAGGCAATTTCTTGCTGAAAAAAAAAAAACAACAACGATAAAATCGAGAGAGAATTGCTCGAGCAACCAAAAATTAATCATGCAATCAAAAAAGGGGCTGTGTTCGGTCACCCATTAGTTTTAGTACAATGCGATAGTGACGTCCAACCCGATAATCCGGCTCTTGTGCTTTGCACTGAGCTGATGTTCTGTTTTGATTCCAACTTCATCAATCGTTTTTTCGAAGCGATTGAGTGTTGCTGGCATTTCATTTATAGCATGTAAATACATGTTATCACCATAAAAATATATTTGCGTACATGTGTGCGTGTGCGTGTGTGTGTGCTAACAACATGAAATTTTTCAACGATTACATTACAAAGCGTTTGTGATTTTGGTCATATATCCTATCCCGTTCGTGGATGACGGTTTGGCTCCGTACATTTGAAATATCGGTATACGCTGTTGTGTGCACGCAATGACTGTTGATACGACAGTCAAAGGTGAACGGATTTCAATAGAATAAAGGATACACTCTCTCACTCTCTTTCTCTTTCTCGCACTATCGCGCATAAAATATGAAAAATGATGGAACAGAGTTCATACGAAATTAATATGTTGTTGCTGTTACCGTTACTGTTGTTGTCGTTTTCATTTTTCTCTCAATTTGAAATTATGTTCCATTATAAGCCAAAACCGTGCCAGAAAAGAAATTCCATGACTCGACGAAGCAGCACACCATTCGGTCTATGCAGACACTCAATTGAGTGTATCTTTGAGAGAATGTTTTTCGTATTAGTTATGAACGTAAATCTTTGTAAATGATACGCATGCTCTGTGAATGGCTCGCCCTTTTTGTACCACATCGCATCATACTCGGTGTCTGCAATATAAATTCCAATACACAATCGCCACACTAAGATTTAAATGAACGGGAAAAAGCGAACGGCCGTTTCATTTGTTTATGCTGTTGTTACTCCTCAATACTCATTTGTTTTTTTGGCAGCATTACCCCAATTTTATAGTCTATTACTTGAATTTTACTGCCCGAAGCGAACATCCTTGCTGAAATTTGTTGGCCATAAATGGCTTGATCGTCTTGGCTATGTTAGCAACATTAATAACAAATATTTTAGCATCAGCATTTGATACTCGTATACATTCATCGTAGCACAATCCATACGATGTGTTTGTGCGCTTGTGTATATGTGTGTGTGTGTGTGTGTTTGTGTGTGAACACAATGTAGAAATTCAGAGGATGAAATAAAAAGAGAAATACGCACGATAGTGTGTATATGTTATTCTTGGTAACATGAGATATCTCCCACTAGAACGTTTTAAGATGCATTCGGTTTTCATGCTACATGTGTTCATATATTTTATAAATATTATTTTGTACGATGTATGTTGGCAAAGTGAATATGTAGGCATGTAGGCAAGAAAATAAGCAGCAGGCAGTCAGTCAATGTAGAGTATTTTCAGCTAACAACCATATATACAATACACACACATATATATATGTTTTAAACATTTTTATATATATATGAACATATACACCAGCACCACGGTATACATATGCCATGGACCAGAGGAAGAAAACACGAGTCCAAGCCCAACAAGAAACTCGAAACTTGTACTTCTATACAAATACAATGCCAACAACGAGGCACCCGTACATTAGTAGCAACAATATCCAAATCATGTACATGTATAAAATACATGTTTTTCCATACACACAGAACCGATTGAAATCCTCCGAGATTGATTCTCTGTTCACATTCTTGCACATAACAACACATATCATGCTGATACCAATGTTGCTGCTGCTGTTGTTTTGTCAGGTTTGGGTATATGCTCTGTCTATCCGTGCTGTAACGAAAAATTCATTCGACAACTTGGTTCGACTGTTCTGTTAGCATATATACACGAACATAGAGCGTGCTTGTTATACGCATATTCAAATTGGTTTCGTATTTTTACGTACAGCACCAGTAGAGTGCCAATGAGAAAAGAGTATGGAAAAAGTTGGGACGCTGTATTCTTCTACATATATATTTATACATCTATATTCTGTCGTTTCATTTTTTTTTTTCACTTGATTTTCACGCAGCTTGTTTGCCTTTTCTTCTCGGATACACGTTCCGATTGCCACAATGATGCGATTCTCTGTTGGTTTTGTGTATGTATGTGCGTGCATGTGCGTGTATGTGTGTGTGTGCGTGTTGGTATGACAGTGGTGGTGGTGGTGGTGGTTGTGATGATGATACGTGAATGTATTGTTATCCATGTACACCAATCCATATGCGGTGCTTGTTGGAGTGCCTGATATTTGCTTGTTGTTGCCAATGGTTTCGGCATGTATTAGTTTGCAGTGCAGTGTGCAACCGTGTGTTGTAGATTTATTCCGTTCTCATTCTGTTTTATAGTCTTGAGCGAGAAAATTTTGTGTTTCCTATCCTTTCGTCGTATTATATTCACTACACAGCATCAGACGAATTCGAAAACGTTCGCTTCAGCATCAATAGTATTTTTGTCGCCTTTCCAATCATCAATCTGGGCAGCAGCAGCAGTGCTAAGGCATCGTATCTCTCTCCAATCGTTTCAGTTGAGTTTGTTTGGCGAATTGTGTACAACGTTCTACACTTTAAATTTTCTCGATATTCATAATCATATTATTTTGCGTGCGAATTCATTTTCAATAACGGTGCATTGATTCGTTTTAACAGCATCAGTGAATTTTAAATAATAATTATATAAAAAAATACGAAACAAAAAACGAAATCGAAAGAATACGCAGCACAAATATTCTGGAATTCATCATTTGCTCGACAGTAACAGAGATACACGAGAAAAGCACAGCAGTTAATATACAGGCGAAAGAACAAATTCATAACATCAAGTTCTCAACAGCAGTAAAAACGAAACAAGTTTCAATACATATACAGAAAAAGAAATATAAGTAGAAAAAAACACGCATTTTTAAATACCTTTTTTGTGATAATACGCGTATTGTTGTTTCCTAAAAAGTACTAGGTTGCATCACATTTAACATACAAAAAAACATTTTTAAAAAAAACTGTTAAAGTGTTTCTGTTACATACAGTATATAAAAGGAAAGGCACAACAATAACAAAATAAACACGAAAACGATACATATACACTCATAATTCAACATAAATCGTTTCACTGTCCATACGACGTTGAATTGTGTGTAGAATTTCTCTGAGACGAAAAGTGTTAGAGAGTAAATAAAATAACAAAGAAAATACGAAACAACAATCTCGCAAAAAGAAAAAAAGTATATATATATATATAAAACGGCAACAGCAGCAGCATCAGCATCAATAAACTCGCTCACTTTTAGCCGATAAAGACGTATAAACAACAAGCACTGCAACTCACAACGTTATACGAGGTAAATATTGTTGAGTTTTCAATTTTGCTTCTCATTTACAAAGTTAGTTTTAGACTGTAAGCAAAACTTCTGAATTCTTACAATTCGGTGTGATTTCACATGAATTCATTGGAACTTCAATGCAATATATGCATAAAAAAGGATGAATAACAGCAACAAAAAATCATCAGAGAAAATGAAATGAAAAGAGAGTATGCGAGAGAGAATTATATTTTATATCAGTTGAAATGCTCCGTGTAAATTGATGTCGTAAACAAATATTCGCTTTTTTTCTGTTCACTCATTTCATTCTGGTTTTTTTTCGTTGTTGTTGTCGCTGTTACTTCGTTCCGTTATTGTAATTCAACCCTTGCTGTGATACAGAATACTCGTGTGCAGAAATGTATATATGGTGTTCAGTGTGTTTTCAAATTGTATGCATGCACAATGAGTTTCTTGGCTTAGGTGTGATTCATGTGATGGCTTGAATTCACTAATTCCTTGAAGAATGGTGTTTACCATTTGTCACAATAGCAACCCATCTATCTATAATAACTTATGTATGCTAAATGTCTTACGAATCCATAATTTTCGACACAGTTTTATTTCATCTCAGCATCTATATATAATACGTATTTTGTTTATTTTGCAAAGCATACAATCCTGCACACAATCTTTGTTTACTGAATTATATGACACAGGCGAAAACAATGTGAAAATCTGAGCACTTGAACATCACTTTAGTCACACAGTCTCTTATTTCGCGCACATGGAACACACAAATGCGTATCAAGTGTTTCATTAACGTTTTATACATTCCATTTTGAAGGCAGATAGAACTAGAACAAAAGATCAAAAAAAAAGAAGGGAAAAACAATTGAACTTTGTCACCCTGCAAAATGTCTCTCTGCTGGAATCTATGCTCACTGCAAGAGAGAGCTCATGACAAAAAAAAATTTGTTCAGTTGATATTGCTATCGTGTTTTATTATCCGATGTGATGCCACGAGTTTTATGCTAAACTTTGCTTAGTTATGCCATCAAATGGGGATATTTATACAAATGTGATGTATAAAATTCAAATAGCAAATCATACGCACAACAAATAATATGCCATTTCATTGAATGACAGCAAACAAATGCCAAAGAAATGTTGGGATACAAAACAACAAAAGAAAAAAAAAACTACACTAGTACATAAAACGCGCAAGAATTGTAGAAAGGAAAGAAATTATCTCAATATTTTAGTTTTGTAAATTGCTTGTCGGCCGCAAGTTTCGAGCTGACAGAATTGGTTATACGAAAGCAAACATGTACAGCATATTAACCAAACAACATATCTCAAGTTAAAGCATCAATACAAAATGCTGGCTAGCAGATACAGAGAGTTAGCATGTGTGCGTTTATTTGGCTAATATACTGAAGATGAATGTCGATAAACATTTTTGCGCGTAATATAAAAAAGCAAATATCAATGCTTACTACGATAACGGGCATTGAATTTTCATGATTCTGTTGGAGACTAATAGTTGAGAAAAGAAAAACAAATTTTCTGTGAAATATGATTTTATGTTTCACGCATTTGAATTCCAATGAACAAGTTAAATCTGTTGAAATGAAGCCGTCTACATTTCCTTTATGCATAATTTTCAACCATTTGGCTTTTTGCCTGCTAGCTTACGACATACCAAGCGTGATAAAGACTTACTTTATACACTCAGAACATCGGTCCATGGTTCAAATTAAAATGAATGGAATGATGATGAGCCGAAAAAAAAAGAACGAAACGAAGAAATCGAACAAACTTCAATGTTCAAGACAAAGATTCTGTGTGCAGCACTTAAATCTCTTAACCGGAACACGATGGTGCGCATATGATGGCAATGATGACGTCGTTGCCGACGTTGAAGCTAGAAACGATTTTAACATTTATTCCGTGCATCATAATAGGGACAATTAAATTTTCATGGAAAAGGTTACTTATTTAAATGCCGAACGGTTTTGGTTGCCATTTATGAACGACCAAATCAAAATGGAAAATCATCTGGCAAAGCAAAAAAAAAAATTCGTGAGCGTTTTATGAAATGGACAAAGTTTCTTTGCCTACATATACAAACCATTAATTTCTAATGAATCTCAATTGATGAAATTAATACATTCATTTGAAATTCGAGAGAGAGAGAAAAAAAGTAACACTTAGCAACAATAATCATCTTACATTAACTATGGGTGTGATTTCAACTATGAAGGAATTCCAACGATAGAGAATGTACTTGTTGAAGAGTGAAAAAAAAAGAGAACAACAAAGAACAACATTTTTTAATGTATCGGCATTTATTGCATGAGGTCATTCACATTTATTCCGCTTTTTCCCATTATGTTGCTTTTTCCTTCGCTCGGGTAGCCGCAAATGTTTCACGAATTACCATGCAATTCAATGAGATGAACAGAATGCGATAGAGAGAGAGAGAGAGAGAGAGAGAGAGAGAGAGAGAAAGAGACCAGAAACCGCCATTAACAATTTTGATATAGCTAATTTTAGATTTATTTTTCATTTGTTGAATCCGCTACGATAATATTAGTTTCTGTTTTCCTCTTTCACATTGCCTGCCGCTCTATCTCACTCTATCTCCGGCATGGTTTCTATGCCGAACAGATGTATTACATCCAAATGTAATCGTCCGCCTAATTAAAATGATGATGCGCATTAACATTAATATACATACACATGTATGTTTAAATTTCAATGTTATTATGGAGCTCTCGCTTCTCTCTCTTTCTCCTATCTCTCTTCCTTTGCATTCTTTTCTCATTCAATTTTTCCCGATTCGAGCTCTCGCTCCTCTTCCGACACCCTGATCCACATTTTCTGTGCGCATCCAGTGCGTTTGTTGTCGATGTGCGTGTGCATTATTTCAATATTTTAAATTTAAATAAATCAAAATGAAAAAATTGACCCGTATAAAAGAATGTATCGTCTTTGATAAATGCGACGACAATTTCTGTATATTATACATATATCACTGTGAATTTGTGTGGTTGAAACGGATGCCTGGGAAATGTGATTTCAAGTAATCATTTGCAGCCATTTGAAATCTGCAGTCACATCCGATCGTTCCAAAACGTGGCCTGTTCGAATATGCGTAATATATGTTTATAAGGAAATCAGTATTATGAAATGTTCGAACAATATGACAAATAAACGAAACATACACGCATAAATCTCAATAAATTCAAATCGTCATCGCTTTTCATGGTGTCACTAATAAATAATAAACGGAATTTTTAACATCAATTTATCTTCAATTTTGATTTCATTCACACGGCCACATATCAGAAACTCTCAGATTCAATTTATCATAAACCACACACACACACGCCAACTTTTTTTTTTCTCTCAGATTTATTTTTTATCATTTTTTATCTCTCGTTCTCTCTTTCGTTTTTTTCCCTTTTCTTTCATTTCAAGTAATTTTATGATTACATGGGCATGTTACTGCCATTGGACAGCTCCTTTGCCTTGACAACACTCAATTTATTCAATGTGGTTTCATGTTAGTTACATTGCAAAAGAATCAACTTATTTATTGTGATACAGAAAGTAGTAGCAACATACATAGATACAAAATGGCGACAACATAAAACAAAATAGCGTAAAATAAATAGAAAAGCGTCTGTCAATTACACGTTTATTGGTAAGATTGAGAGATAGAATTGGTTTGTACACAGTGATGTACTGTGATGCAGTGACTTGGAATTAATCGTTCATCTCTACGAATCGGATTTGTTTTGCCTTGTCATACCGTATGAAGAAGACGTTCGCATAAGATTTTTTCAAGTCAATGAAAAACATACGGTTTTTCTATTTTTGCCGTTTTTATTACAAAATTTTATCAAAACTCAACGCGCATCCTTCACTATTCGAAGGCCATTTTTCTTCTCCATTCATCCGTTCACATTGGCAAAATCTATAAATTATTGGTTTTATTTATCGCAGTGAGCTGGCAGTCAATTTATTTCGGGCAATTTCGCGTCGAATATCCTTATATAAATATATAGATTGTGCTGTTTTTTTTTTTCAATTATTCGCATTCGACGACATGAATGCCTACACATGCGTTATTTTGTTTTTATATTGGATTCAGCCTGAATCGTTTTGCTTGAATTGTAATATAATATTTCATTTGAATCGTCGGCATGCTATCTTTCAATATTACGTCGGTTGATCCCCGGGCTGAAAACATCAATTCTGACAACCTCAGAAATCGATAATAAATTAACATTAATGTGATTTGAGGTCAAAAATAACAGTGATTTAAGTGGAAGAAATTGATAGATTATCAATGTACACATTGAACCATATACTCATGTCTATGGTCGATAGTAAAACAACAAAAAAAACCACAAGTAAATAAATACAAATTGATCACAATAAGTTCTCAGCTTACTGATTAAACAAACGCATCTATCTATTCAATAAACAACTGTACCGTTTCTTAATGTCGTGTGTGTGTTTGGCGTTGCGTTGTAACAGATACACCATTCTATTGACACTATTTAGTTGGGTCATTATGTGTTGCACACAACGGCTTCAATTCATAATATTTTAATTTTATTTGTGTAAGCAATTATATGAGCGAAAATCTTGTCATGACAATATTTACAAATTAATTTCGCTTGCCAAGATAAATTCTGCTGACAGTCGGTCGCACAGTGGAAATTAGTTGAAGCTTCGTTTTCACTGCTTTTTTAATTATTCACAAACTTCAGTTCCAGGTCAATGATTGCACAAAAGAGAATCTGAAGTGAATATTCACAGTCATATTCACTTTCATCGTCTCTTTCTCTCGCTATTCTCGCTAAATTGAATGTGACTTTTATATATATAATATACTAGATGCAATTTTTTTGTTAGTTGGCCTCTCTCTATTTGTCTTGCTATGTGCGTGTGTATTCAAAACTGTTGAAGCATGCTTTTATGAATGTTCTCTTGGAACTTGCTCCGAATAATTTTCACTGAAA